AGTCAAATGCCTTTTATCGCCATCGGGAACAGGGCATTTTTTCCGAGTCCAGCGCTCATCTGGGGCTGGTGGGACCAAGTACTCTTCCCCTGGGCTTTGGCACGCATCTTTTCGACGCGGATAGCGATGGCGATCTGGATCTTTTTGTCGCCAATGGTCATATTTTTCCCAATGTCTCGGATTTCTCTTCTGCCGAGTCCTACCCTCAGACCGATCAGTTTTTCCGCAATACCGCAGGCGTTTTTGAAGACGTTTCCGAATCGGCAGGTTTCACATCGCCTGCTGTCAGCCGGGGTTCGGCGCTGGGCGATATAGATACCGACGGTGATCTGGACCTTATTGTGCTTGTCGCCAATGCACGCCCCTATCTCTATCGGAATGATACTCCGCCTGCCCATTCCTGGCTCATTGTTCAGCTAAAGAGCGCGAATCGCAGTGCGATTGGTGCTCGCGTCACCCTTACTGCAGGTGGCCGTACCCAATCTCGAGAGGTGCGGAGTCAATCCGGCTATCTTTCCTCGGGAGATCCGCGTCTCCACTTCGGTCTGGGCGATGCCGAACAGATTGACCGTCTGGACATCTGGTGGCCCTCTGGACGCACCCAAACCCTCCGCAATCTGCCTCCGAACCAGATTCTGGTGATTGAGGAATAGGCTTACCACCCGTGTACAAAGTGTCCACTTCCAGGAAACCAGATCGCATCTATGACACTCGACGCGCCTACGCCCAACAGGTATCCCACCACAATCCCATACGAAAATGGCAGCGACCGCCGGTAAAGTCCTACTCCCCCAAACTTGAGCACCAGTGACTTGGCCAGCCATACCACAAAAATGGCAAACCCGTACGTATGACTCGGGAAGGCCAGTCCCACCGGGTGAATCGGCCAGGAAGCGAACTGGGCATTCAGAAGTGTCAGCAGCCCGGCTTCTCCGATTCCGAACAGCCAGACCAGCAGTTTCTGAAAGTCAAAATACGTGGGTTCTGTCCCCTCAATTATGCCTACTTGCCCCAGCATCACGGTCCAATCGTACATATAAGCCGCATTGAGACCACCCTCTGTATAACACAAATAAAGCTGGGCACCGCAGGCTATGGCATAGGCTCCAAGCAGAGAGATGGGCAAAGCCCACACCACCAGAAAACGTCGCTTCAGGGCTTGCTGCAACAGATGAAAAAAATGTGGAATGGCTGGAATCGACAGCATCCGGCCCGAATGCGCGGCCAATCCGCCGCGGTTTACCACCATCACTCCCGTCAGGTCAGTGGGGGAAAAATTGGCTGTCCCCAGAAGCGTTTTCAGTATCGGTCCGCCTTTCTGTCCCTGAGGAGATAGAAATACGAACCCCGTGGCCGCTGCGTATTTGGTTACGCCAAAGTAGATCACAAAAAATAGCGAAAGCTGTAGCAAAGCCACTGCAGGTTGCATGTCCAGAGATATCATCCAGCCTGTGAGAAATGCAAATGCCGCGCTAAATCCCAGCCAGGCCGTGCGGTAGGTCACGGGCGTTCCATCGTCTTTGCTCCGTTCGTCTGATAATGCCTTTTGCAGGGTTTCTTTCAGATGTTCTCTGGCTACCCAGACTGACCAGATCACGAGAAATACCAGTGCTCCGTGCGCCTCCAGCATCCGTATTTCTCCCGAGGTTGCCGCTTGCCCCTGCATGCCCACTGTAAATCCCGTTCGATCCATCAGTGCTTGTTTAAAAATATTGATCACAAAAAAGGTCCACACGCTCAGCAGTATATTTAGCGGACACAGGTAGGCCAGCCCCATCAAAAGGGGCTGAATCCTCAGGTATAACGTCGGAAAATCGCGACCGATGTACACGGCTTTGGTCAAATAGTGATCGTAGATCCCAATACGCGGAATTGTCAGAATAAAATATCCGGCAATATTCCAGAAAATCACACCGGCCGTACACGCAAACCCCACCCAGAAAACGGGCGTTCGGAACACGACAGGCAATCGGTGTGAGGGTTCTTCCCGAAGCAGTTCCAGGGGCATTGTCGCCAGGGGAAATGTCAGCCGTTCCCGTTCCACCCACTGTTTGTAAAATAACACACTTGCAAAAAAGCCGGCCATCACCAGTGCCACAGTTCCGGCAAACCACCAGAACAGCGGGGTTAGCCAGTTGCGCCATGGAATAGATTCCTCTGATCCCAGGCCCACGTACAGCCGCTCTACTACCAGATCTCCAGGCTCAAAAAATAGCCACCGGGGCATATAGGCCCCCACCACCTCCCAGAATCGGTTTTCCGGTGAAGAAAAAGCGGACGGTGCCGAAATATCCGTAATCAAGTATCCGGCCCAGCCCACTGCCGGTGCTGTACCCACCATCCAGACCATTCCAAAAATCACCATTACTTCTGTGCGCGACAGGGCAAAGCGAGGTAAAATTAGCTTTAATACCGTATTGATCCCCACCCACAATACCAGTGGCAGCAACGCGGTAACGGGCACAAAGCTTTTCATCAAATTTCGCCCGAAGTAGGTCGCGTACAAACACATGCCCGCAATCGTAATCAGCCCCAGCACAAAAGCCCGAATTGTGAGCGATTCAGATACTGTTGATGCGTTTTCTTCAGGTTCTGGTGCCGAAGCCATATTCGCAACCCCTATCTCTCAGGGCATGGGTTCTTTTATATTCACAATTTGTCCTGCGGGCAGATTTTCTACGACCTGCACTGTTCCGCTCGGCCAGACTACCTCCAGGCGCGTTGCGCGGTCGGCATCTCCGAGTCCAAAATGGATTGAGTATGGATCGGTGGATCCAAACCCGACGCTTCCCAGCACCTCTCGGAACAGGGTGCGGTTTCCTACTGTTAGGCGCAATTTCGCTCCCACGCCAAAACGGTTGCTTTGATGCCCTTGAAGTGTGACCTGTAGCCAGCGATTCTGATTTCCCGACTCGTTGCGGTAAAGCGCGTTCTCAAACAGATCTCCGTGGTACCATCCCCCTTGTGGTGCATATACATCGAGGTCGCCATCCTGGTCATAATCGGCAAATGTGATGCCGTGTCCTTTGCCCAGGTGTCCCATTCCCGCGTATTCGGTCAGGTCGGTAAATGTCCCGTTCCCATTATTGTGATAAAACCGGTTTGGCTCCAGGCGTCCCAGGTCCGGATCACCCGTCCCGAAGTACACGTCCAGGTACCCGTCGTTATCTATATCGCCTACATTGCCACCCATCACGCCGTGGGCATAAATGAATCCCGCCTCGTAGGATACATCTGTAAAGCGCCACCCTTCGGTTGGTCCCTCGTTTCGGTACAGTTTGGGCGTTGGATAGGCCGGGTCGGTGGGCGCGGTATAGCTGGCCAGTTGTCCCTCTAAGCTCTCTTTGAATCCGGCCAGGCAGGTGGTCAGGATGTCCAGATCGCCGTCGTTGTCGTAGTCAAAGAAAAACGATACATAGCCCCGAAGGGTGCCACTCCCGGCGACATTGGAAGCCAGCGCCACATCGACAAAAGTGCCATCTCCGCGATTTCGATATAACGCATTGGGCGTCTCGAAGCCGGTTACAAAGAGGTCCAGGTCGCCGTCTAAGTCATAATCGCCGAAGGCTGCACCTATCGTACCAAGGTCAAAATGAAGGCCCGCCTCATCTGTGGTTTCGACAAAGTTTCCATTGTTGCGGTAGTGCGCGTTTGAAGATCCGTCTCCAGCAATGCCATTTGCAATAAATAAATCCAGGTCGCCATCGTTATCCGTATCGCCCCACAGGGAGACAAATCCCGATCCCTTATCATTTGTGCCCGAAACTGCGGATACATCGGTAAATTGACCCCCGTCATTGCGGTAGAGCGTATTTGGCCCGGGTCCGGACCATCCGCTGCGGGCGATGTAGAGGTCCAGGTCGCCATCGTTGTCGTAATCCACAAGATTTCCCGAAAATCCCGAATCGACGTCTTTCAAGCCGATCTGGTTGCTAATATCCACAAATCGGGTTCCGTCGTTGCGGTAAAACGCCAGGTACGTATCGCATCCCTGCGCCAGCAGATCCAGGTCGCCATCGCCGTCGATATCTCCCCAGGCACTCGGCCCGGCTCCGTCCAATTTGGCTACGCCCAGGTCGCGGGCCACATCTGTAAAGCGCACGGGCAGGGGTGTATCTGTGGATTCGGGGCGCTGGTCGAAGCGATAATGAGACCACAACCACCAGGGATAACCGCCCAGTTTATCGTATGCTTGTTTCAAATTCCACTGGGTGCGGAAAAACCATTCATCTGTTTCCGGCAGGGCGCGCAGCAAATTTAAAAATGTCTCGGTCGCTTTGCGGTAATGGCCTGCGCGGTAATAGGCCACGCCCAGCCGATCTGGAACGCGGAGGTCCAGGCGGTCCTTTTGCATCTGCATCGCTACTTTCAAACGCTCAATTGCCGCTTCGTAATCCCCCATCCTCAACAGGGATAGACCGGCCAAATAGAGTGCCTCTGCATCGTTCATGGAACCATCGGCCAGTTTCTCTGCGTGGTGAAATGCGCGCTCCAGCAAGATGCGGGAATCGTTCAAGGGCATGATCTGTCCGCTGCTTCCCATTTTCTGATTTTCAAACCAGATGGTTTCCCCACCCAGCAGCCAGATGACGTATTCTTTTCGCACGTCCAGCATCAGCGGTTGCCCCGCAAGGGCCGCTTCAAATTGCGCGGCTGCGCGGGCGGGTTCCCGCTGCGAGCGATAAAGCCGCGCAAGCCATATCCTCGCCTCAACAGCATCCGGATTGCGGGACACTGCTCGCTCAAACGCGGCTACTGTTTCGGGGCGGTCTTGAATCGCCAGCACTTTGCCCAGGTGTAAATAGGCCGCGCTTTGGGTTGAATCAATTTGAATACACCGACGGAACTCGGCTTCGGCAGCTTCGTACTGCGCCCGCCGCATGCTTTCTATTCCCTGCTGAAGATGCGTGGCATAATCCATCCGCATGCCCGGAGAAGACTCTCTTTGCTCACCGCATCCGATGGTTAGCACTATCAGCACCAGAACGACCACAATCATCTCAGACCACCCGTCCATCTATGAGTTTCACCTGTCGATCTGCTCGGTCTGCCAGATCCCGGTTGTGCGTGGATAGCACCACTGTCAATCCCTCGGTCTGGTTCATATCCCGCAACAATGCCACAATCTCGTTACCCCGTTTTGAATCCAGGTTGCCAGTTGGTTCATCTGCGAGCAAGATCTCGGGGTTGTTTACGAGTGCGCGTGCAATTGCCACCCGTTGCTGTTCGCCACCCGATAGTTCGCGGGGCAGGTGATCTGAGCGGTGTTGCAAATCTACGCGCGTCAGCAAATCCCTTACCCGGTCGCGTTGATGCAGTGCGCGGGAAAAGAGGAGGGGGAGGGCCACATTTTCTTCGACGGTCAATGTGGGTAGCAGACAATAGTCTTGAAATACGAATCCCACATGTTGCCGACGCATGGTTTCCAGGTCTTTGCCGCGCAAGATGCCCACATCTCGATCCAGCAATTTCAAAAGGCCCGATGTGGGCTGGTCCAGACAACCCATAAGGTTCAAAAGCGTTGTCTTTCCCGCGCCCGATGCGCCGGTGATCGCCACAAATTCGCCGGGTTCTACGATCAGATCTACACCGAATAACGCTGCGATTTCTTCGGCTGAACGGCGGTATATTCGCGTGAGTCCCCGTGCAAGAATAGCCGACATTTCAGCGTATCCACGTAATGGGATGCAGGCGGGAAGCCCGCCACCCCGGTATGATTCCAGCCAGTATGCCCATGCCTACTGCCATTGCAACGCCACCTATAAGCAAGGTCCCATCAATTTGCACCAGTACGCCTGAGGGGGCAAATGGGAGAATCGCGCGCACGGCTTCAGATGCCATGCGGCTGCCCAGAACCGCGACGCCACCACCTGCGATTCCGCCCAGGGCGCAAATTAACAGCGCCTCTGCCCAAATCAGCGCAAATATGTCCCACCGAGACGCCCCGACCGCCCGCATCACGCCGATCTCTCGCGTTCGTTCAAAGACCGCAATCAGCATCGCATTCATCACGCCGAGCGCTGCAATTGCCACGGCTACGATGGCGACTGTTCCGATGAAAAACCGCGCTGTGCCCAGGAGGTCGAGAAGAGTTCGCTGGACCTGCGCCATGGTGATAACCTGCACCGAGGGTATTTCGAATACGCGTTCCGAAAATCCGTCTATTCTGGACAGGTCTTTTAATTTTACGCCAACGCCCGTCAGTTTTTCTTTTTTATCGAAGAGGCGTTGCGCTACCCCAAGCGGCACGAAGATGGTGCCGTCGTCCTGCGTTCCACTGCGGTCAAAAACCCCGCGTACGCGGAAGTTTTGTCCCAGTCCCTTTAGCGGAAAATCGTCCCCGATATTTTTTCGATAATACGCCGCTACGCTGTATCCCAGAATTACCTCATCGGTTTTCCCATCGCCAAACCACCCGCCTCGCTGGAAGGTCAGCCAGGGTTTCATTTCCAGAAAGCTATCTTCTATTCCCATCACCAGAGAAAATTCTTCTCGGTCTCCGAAAGCGTTCCCAAAAACAACCGCGTCGCTGTCGCCACATCGGTATCTCGAAGAATCTCCCGGTGGATGGCCTCATCCATATACATCGGAATCACTCCACCTTGCATCAACAGGGTAGCCGCTTCGTAGGGGCACCCTTTCGAGGTGACCAGTACGTGATAACCCAGGCGGTCAATGCTGTGGATCAGGGATGTGCGGTATCCGTTTCCCAGGCCCAGCAGGCTCACAAGCACACATACGGATAGGGCTACCCCGCTTATTGTCAACGCGCTTCGCGTGCGGTGTCGGCGCAGCTCTTTTAGCACAACGCTTATAAATTGAAAAATGACCAAATACTTGCCCTCTTGCGATGGATTTCTACGCCTTTTCCCATCAGGCGCAGATCGCCCCCGATTCGTTTTACGACGCCCACGACGCGCAGGGAGTCTCCAGAGATATTGCGGGGGACGGTTATGGTCCGCCCCTGCTCCAGGTCGATTAGAATATGCTGCGTGCTATCTTGCAGTACAAACCAGCATCCCATGTGCTGGCACACCTGCCCCACGCGGCCTGTCAGTACCACTCGCTGTTCCAAAAATGCCGCTGGCCGATCCAGCACTTCTTTGATCTGGATCGCGCGATTGGCGGGTACGACTTCGCCCACTTGTTGGACTTTCACAGAACCGCACCCGATAATCAGAATCAGCACCATCAGATACAGACACATCTATATGTCCTCAGTTTTTGCGTGACGCCTGCCATAAGAGATGATATTTTGTTTTAGAGATAAAATCAAGGGATTCCCCCCATCCGCTTTCTCTGCCGGGAATATGCCCATGAAAAAAATCTCCGCTTTGATGCGGATCCTCCTCGTCGGCGTCTGCCTGGCGTGCAAGCCCTCTCAACCCGATGTATCTACGGAGTTTGTCGGCGTACAGGGCTGTGCGAGTTGCCACATGGAAGCGTATCAAAAATGGCAGCGCACGACCCATGCGACTTCCATGCAAAAAGCGACTTTGCAGACTGTTAAGGGTGATTTCACAAAAGATAACGCCTATATTTTTGGCGGTATTACCTCAACGATGAGCCTTCAAAATGGTCGTTATTTCATCACGACGCCGGGGGCCGACGAATCGCAAGGTACCCACGAAGTCCTCTACACGATTGGCGACCGGGATACGCAGTGGTACATCACCGAGCTTCCCGGAGGTCATTTGCAGATTCTTCCGGTTTATTTCGATGTTCGCAGAAATACCTGGTACAATCCCGTTGAAGGTATTATCGCCTCGCCATCCGAACAGCCTTTAGATCCTCGCGACATGTCGTTCTGGACACACTTTGGGCGCAATTGGAGCGCGCAGTGTTTTGACTGCCACGCCAGTCAGATTGAGGTCAATTACGACCCGGACGCTGGGACTTACGATTCCCGGTGGGTAAATCTGAACATCAATTGCGAAACCTGCCACGGATCGGGAGCGGGACACGTCGCGTTTTGGGAGATAGCTCTGACAGATGCCGAGGCCGCGAGCATGCAGGATACTTCGCTGGTGAATTTGAGAACCCTCACCGCAGAACAATCTGTAGAACTCTGCGCGCAGTGCCACGCGACTAAGCGCATTTTGAAACTGGGCTATCGGCCCGGCGACAATTTTTACGATTTTTACGAACCCATTGTTCTGGATTTTGAAGGCATGTGGCCCGATGGTCGCTACCGGCATCTCACGTATAATTACACCGCTCTTACCCTCAGTCCCTGTTATACCGAGGGCGGGCTGACGTGTTTGACCTGTCACCCGTCCCATGGCCCGGAGGGGGAAAAAAAGACGAGGGCCGATTTCGACGGTATATGCATGCAGTGTCACCGGGATATACAGCCTCGAGAACACAGCCGTCACGAGCAGTACATCGCCTGTGTGGATTGCCACATGCCCCCCATTCCAGAAGTGCATCGGGTGCGCGTGTTTGACCATCGCATCGCGCCTCCAGTTCCTGCGAATACCGTGCGCTTTGGCATCCCAAATGCCTGTAACGAATGCCACGGGGATCGCACACCTGAATGGGCTGTAGAAAAAACAGAAGCCTGGTGGGGGAAACAGGATATTTATCTTTTGCAAACAGCCGCCATTGCACTGGGGCGACAGGGCAACCCGATGGCTGTATCGCCTCTGAAAGACGAACTGCTCGATCAGTCCAACAATCCCACGCGCCGGGCCTCCGCAGCTCTGCTTCTGGGGCGCACCCGTTCCGCGCAGGCTGTGCCCATTCTTCTCAGTGTCTTAAAAGACCCACATCCCCTCGTGCGGGCAAAGGCGGTAGAAGGTCTGGGCATGATCGGTCAAGCGCGGGTTGTGCCCGCGCTGGTTTCATTGTTAAACGATCCGATTCGAATTGTGCGGTTTGCTCTCGTGCCGGCTATCGAAAATCTGGGCACACACCATCTTAAAGGCCAGGACTACGAGCGCTATGAAGCTGTTTTCGTCGAATACGAACAAGCGAGCAAAGAGGTCTGGGCGACCGACCCCTATGTGCATGCGTTTCTCGGATGGTGTTATATGAGGCGGGGAAATACTGAGTTGGCCCGTCGCGCTTTCCAGCGGGCACTGCGGATTTGGCCCGGTATTGAGGATGCGGTTAGAGGGCTGGCGCAGATACATAACCCAGAAAAAAATGACCGATGAGTACAGGACTCACCGGTCGTTTTTTTTCGATTTGGAGCGCCTTTTAGAACGATCCGGTTATCGATACGCGCAGGGGCGCATCAAATAATTGCCCGAAGTCCATATATGCAAAATCGACACCGATCTTCCGCCCCACGCCCAAATCCTTTTGGACGCCGCCACCCAGCGTCCAGCTACCCAGGTCGTACCGCCCCCGGTAACCGGCCCGCAGTGCCAGGGTGTTGGCCACCCACAATTCGCCGCCCACATGCCAGCGCTCGCGGTCGTCAATGTGATGCACCAACTCGGCCGCCACCGTCAGATACGTGGGGTCTCCCTTGCGTCCATAAGGCTCCATCGCCAAAGCGATGGTGTAGATCAAAGGCTGGGCAATTGACGTGCCCTGCGGTATGGAACCGGGGAATCACCAGTTCCTGGTCTTTGCCGAAGTTGCGAAGCGTCATAGCCAGGCGCGAACTGCCAAATCCAGTATAAAAAATACTGGAAAAATCGAATGAGGCACTGTTGATCTTGTCCTGGTCCAGCGTCTCTTGAATCCACTTTATAGACGCACCCAGCGACAACTTGTCCGTCATCTTGTAGGCATAACCGAAGTTTATGAAAATATCACCGGCCGATATATCCCGCGTGAAACGCCCTTGCGGATCCAGAGGCGTAGTCTCGCGGGAGGTGCCCGCGTCAAACTGGACAACCGACAACCCAAAGGTCTGCTGACCGTATCGCCAGGCCACCGCACCGTTGAAAAATTTCGAATCTACCATCCAGCGCGTATATCCCAGGGCATATTCAAATCGCTCGATGTGGGTCAATGCCGCCGTGTTCCAGAACATCGCATTGATGTCGTCGGCTGCGGCTGTAAACGCATCGCCCATTGCAGCCGCCCGTGCGCTCTGCCCCACCTTCAACGCGTGGAACGAAGCCCGTCCGGTTCCGTGGAACTCTTTTGTCCGATGCTGACCCGCGCGCACGCCGGACGGCAACTGGTATTGCTGTGCCCAGGCCTCTGACCCATAAGTCCGACGGCCAGGAGCATCATATAAATTGCAGTTAATCGTTTCACTTCCACTCTCCTTTGTTTGCAGAGGGACGGAACAGAGTGACCGCCCCTCCCGTCGGTCTTACTGGATAATCAGAAAACTGCCCGTCTGAACCTTGCCTTCTTGCCCTGGCACCAGCGACTCTACGGCGAAGAAATAAATTCCCGGAGACGCGTACGACGTGCCAGAACGCGATCGTTGAGACCAACTCACTTCTGCCGTGTGCTGATCTCCGCGCGTCCCATCGTGTACTATTTCCATGACCAGGTCTCCCGCAGCCGTGAAAATCGAAATTCGAGCCAGACGCGGCAGGTTGGTAAACCGCATGCGCTTGTTGTTGTCGCCCTGCGCCCCAAAGGAATGCAACCCGTCGTCCTTCCAGGGATTTGGCACCACAAACACTTTCTCGTCTAAGGCGTCGAACCCATCTGAGGCTGCCACAACAGGTGTAAACTGACCGCCGGATGTGTTGTGCCGCGCAGCCGTCACAATATGGCTCGACTCGGTCCCCGTGCGGATATGGTTTTGAACCACGGGGGGCAGATCTGCAAGTGTTGTCGGGACGGGCATTTGCGCGCCTGGAATCGCGTTTTTCTGCGCATTCAGGTTCTCCCAATTCGCGTGCCCGTTGGCATAGGTTACGATATTGTACCGATACCCGAATCCCGTAATTGAGTTCTCATCGGCAAAAGTATAAATCCCGGTCGAGGCATCGTAATAGCTTGGGTCTTTTGCCTGAATTGTGGCGATCAGATTCCACGGGCCCAGAGGCGCGCCAGCATGCTGCACTGGATCGGTCTGGATCAGTGCCGTGTTCCCGTAAACCTTGTAACCGGCCACATCCTGCGCCTCGCCGCCCGAATAATCCGGATGCACTGCATCGTCGGCACCGTCGCTCCAGGACAACTCCACGTTGCCATTTGCATTGCTGCGAAGCAAAACAGGACGGTCGGTTTCGGCACGCGCAATTGATTCCACATCTGGCGGTTGATTGGGCAGGTCAAATCCCATCGCGTACAATTGACGTGCGCGGTCGATGTGATTGAACAAAATATCCTCACCGCCGGGCACCTGCGACTGCGCGCCTGGCGTCATGGCCCAGATGCGAAAGTCCATCGGCTCACCGCCTGGGCCCGCATTCTCGGCTGCCATACCCGCGGCAAAAACTATCACGATTTTTGCCTTGTCACCCGGTGCCAACTTCCAGGGACCGAACATCTGCGAGTGCAGTTGCTCCTGCAATTCTCGCTCATCGGGGTTTGGACCACCCTCAATCGGGTTGTCGTCATAGGGCTTACCCGGCGTGATGAACTTCTTCCACATCTCTTCAATCGTATCAACTGATTCGTGCGGCTCAAACTCGATGTTCGTGCGGCTTCGGCGCTTCCACCAGTGTGCATACGCAGGCTGACTGATGGGAATATCCTCGCCCCCCATCGCCATGCCCGTAATCGGCACATAACTTTCCGGGTCGTTGATAAAGGGCGGTGTCACATCTACAGGTCCCCAGCCTATGTATTGCGGCGAATACAATTCTTGCTCTGCCCGATATCCGATCACACCAATGGCTTCTGCGCCGAACCGGGGTTCGCCCATGTCGTTATTTGAACTGGTGGGTGCATCGCCATCGAACTGATACGATACCTTTTTACCTCGGTATTTCCCACCGTAATTGGCGGCCTCGGTAAACTGATACCGGTCGTCTTCAAGCCGCCGTCCCGGTTCGGAAAACCAGTAGCCATTCCACTTGCGAAACGAGTGCCCGGGCTTATTCACGCTGAAATAGTTCAAATATCCCATATACACTTCTTCATAGGACCGGTTTGAGGTATTCTCTATGACCAGTTCCACAAAAAAGAAATCGTCGTAATCCGGGTGGCTCCATCCATACGCAGACCGCGTAATTGTCATCCCCGTCCCGTCTGGCTCGATATTCGTGTTGCTGCGCCATTTCGTAATCACAGTTTCTTCTGGAAAGTGATCGAACCTGGGCAGCGTATATGACCCGTTCTCGCGGTAATTATCCACTTCTACAGGCTCTTCGGAAATTGGTTTGGGCTGCTCGGTGATCCCGCCGCGGTCCGTGTTGAACCACACGTTGGCGTCCTGGGTATCAAACCCCAGTCGGGCCGCCACGATCGGTGGGTCTTCCCCGCTCCGCAAGCGCAAATTGCCCGATCCCGGCGTCAAATCTGGCACCACCTGCACCACATCCCCGGTGTTGGACACCGGCCCCGACGATGTGACAAACGAATTCCCATTCACATCCCGCGCGAGTATCCACACCCCCTGGCCCTTCGAGTTGTCGTAGTCCTGATCTCGACCTCTGAAGCTACCCGATGTCGAAGATCCCGTATAAATATACGGATACGTCATCGAACCGTTTTCCCGCGCCACATACCCTTCCGACCCCAGGGCAAATGTTCCGCCCTGCTGCCCTGTGTTGCGAAACGACTCCGACAGTTTCGACCGGTCGACCTGCTTCATCGGCACTGGCTCGTCCACCGCCTGAACCCCTGCTGAAAACAGTCCAGTCAGGAAAATGCCCGCAAGCGCCTTACCAATCATTTGTCTAAACATAAATTCACTCCTTACTTATGAGGCGCCAGGGCCAGAGCACCTGTTCTGATGCTCTGGCCCACCTTGGTTTACATGCTCGTGCGCACGCCGAAATAGATCTCCCGAGTGCGATTCGTGTAGCTATTCCACTGATCCCAGATCTGGTTGGTGTCCCGCACCACCACTGGTGTGGGCTGGTTCTCAGCCAGACCGTACTTCGGTATGTCGTGGAAGAAATTCCACCTGCGGATCGAACGCGGCTTTTTGGCGTTGAACAAATTGGTCGCCTCAAAGAACAGGGTCGGACGAAACTTCCCAATTCGGAAGCCCTTTTGAATGCCAAAGTCCGTGCGGAATGCGGTTGGATTGGTAAACAACAACTGGTTCCTGATCAACTTGTTGGCAGTCGCAGGAGCTGGCGTGGGCTGGCTATAGCGGAAGAATGTACCCGGCTCGATTCGCAGTACCAGGTTCACGTTCAGATCGCTCAGCACCTTGCTTCCGCCCACCTCTGGACCATATCCTTCCGGCGTAGCAAATAGGAATGTGATGCTTCCATCGCCTGTGGCATCGCGCATGTTGGCAGGACCGCGCACGCCTCCTATCGTGGCTATACGAGCCGCAATATTCCTCTCATTGGTCCAGGGGAATCCAACCTGTGCATCTGGCACCTGATTGGCGAATTTTTCGGTAATCCACAGTTCCCGATTGGCGTCGATTTCCTGTTGCACCAGCTGGTCGGCAAACATGCCAATGGCATTGACCTCGGCACTCGACAGCGGTTGCCAGACGCGCTCACCCGTGGTCGGGTCAATTTCAAACTTGAAGCGATACGCGTCTTTGGCCAAAAAGTCCGAATCCACGTACCAGCGCGACACCCACTCTCGACCACCGTAGAAGTTGTTCTGCTCCCAGTACCAGCTCCACGTCGCGCGGAACGAGAAGAAATTGGTGAACCGCTTGCTCACGGCCACTTCCAGGCCGCGCGTTTCACCGCTGTACGCGTTCTGATACCAGTGCGCGCGCTTGATCTGCTTCTCTACGGGATCGTGCAAAAACGTGTTGTTCTGCTGGAGATAGTCTTCTGTGCGGCGGTAGAACATCGTCGCATTGGCCGTGTAGTCCGAAACAAAGTTCCAGTCCACACCCACTTCGTAGTTCACGGTACTGCCCGGACGCGAATTCGTCGATCCGCGCTTGGTCGAGCCCATTTCCAGGCCGCCATAATACTCATAGGAACTGTATCTGTCGTCTGCGTTCAGGTCTTCGGCTATGCTTCGGCCCGAAGCTGCTTGCCAGGTCTGCCCATACATCGCATAGAAAATCGGCAGCACGAAAAACCGACCATACGAAAAGTGAATCGCAGACCGCGCAGTAATCGGGTGAGACACCCCGAAGCGCGGCGACAGCTTGAACATATTTAGACCATCATATGTCGGGAACGACTGTGGATTGTTGGGATAGGGCGTCTGACCCTGCCGCGCCAACGACGCATCTGCATCGGAAAACCAGCGGTTTTGGGGCAGCACCGACCACACGGGTTCGGGACGCGTCTGACCGCCGTGGTTGAACGCATCCAGGCGCAATCCCACGTTCACCACCATCCCTTCGAACTCCATCTTGTCCTGCGTATAAGCTGCAAACTGAAATGCCTTTCTGGGATGATCCCGGTAGCTGTTCCATGCCGGGTCGTCGAGACTGCTGGCCCGACTTAAATCGGGCAATTTAACGCCGTTCACAGTTCTGGCGGGCACGAAGTCCATCTGGCCATCTGCACCCAGGCGGTTCTGGGCCGATGCATAGTAGTCGTACATCGTCCAGACCCGATAACTACCCGATGTTCCACGGCTCTGTGACTCCCATTGGTAGGTCTGGAACCACGTTGCTTCGGCCCCCGCCTTAAAGAAATTCCCCTTTGTAACCTGACTGGAGAAATCGAATTTCAAATTGTGGCGCGTTTGACGATTCAATCGGTAGTCCCGAACCTCACGAGGTGTTGCCGTAAACCACTTGTCGTGGTCCCGAACCACATTGAACGTCTCTATGGGCATCCCCGTTGTGTCCTGCTCGCTGTCTGAACGCGAGATACGCAACTCGTACAGGGTGCGCGAAGACAGGGAGTGCGTCAAATACGCATACAACATCGAGTTCCATTCGATCTCTTTGCCCGCACCGTCTATGCCTGCGGGCAAATACAGGTCTCGACCGGCTGATAATGCCGACTCTCGCGTATTGCGGAAATTTTGGTTCGTTCCATACACACCACCCAACTTCAGATTGATATTGGGCTTCACGCCAAATGTCAGCTTGCCCGTCACCTGATAATTGGGCAGATCGCGAAGTGCGGGGTTGGGACGCTGTACGGGTTGCCGATTTGTCTGCGCGCTCACGTGGAACGAGGTCTTGTTCCCAATCGGACCCGAAATGGATCCCTCAAGGCGATGCCCCGATATATCTGTGTAATCGTCCGGCTGGATATGCACCAGACGACCAGAATCATCCGCTGTGCCGGGCAATCCATCGGCACCAATATTTTCCATTTCCTGCAACCAGGCTGGATCGTCCAGGCGGATGCGGCTCTTGCCCGTGCCCTGGTTCAGGTGAATGATCGGATCGTACGCATTGAAACCGTAATGCCGCTTCCTGGCAACTGTGTATCGATACTCGAAAAACCCGTGGTAGTCCCGACCGCCCTCTCTCGTCACGATATTGATGATCCCGGCGTCCATATTTCCGTATTCGGCTTCTGGAACACCCGTTACCACTGAAATTTCCTGGATCGATGCGCGGTTCACACCCGTGAACAGGTTTGCCGCGCGGCGGTCATTATTCACCATCCGCACACCATCTACGGTATAGGTGAGTGAAATCGGCTTTGGCGTTGTCGTGTACCAGCCCGCACGGCGTTCGCCTTCGTCCATTTGGAAGTTGCCCTGCCGCACTGACCGGCCGTCTTTCTGCACGCCCGGCAGCAAGCCCGCCCACGCTTGAGCATCTTTGACCACGGGCTGTAAATCGATCTCGTCAGCTGTTACGTAGTATTTGCTCGCGGTCTTGTCAGGCTCTACGGGTGGACGCTGTGCCGTCACGATCAATTCTTCGGCTTCCAGTGCCGTCTCAGTGAGCCTGAAATCCACTGTGGTGGTATATCCCACCACCACTTTCACATCTTGCTGCACCACCTTCTGGTATCCCACCAGCGAGGCTTCCAGGCTGTGCGTTCCCGGCTGAACCAGCAAGATGATATAATATCCTTCTGCGTCTGCGGTCGCACCCCGGTTTGTTCCCGCGATCACGACGTTGGCACCGGGCAATGGATCGCCCTTTGTATCCGTTACCCTGCCCGCTATTTTACCCGTTGTTGCCGCCTGTGCCCAATCCTGCACACCCAGGGTACATACCAGCAAAACGGACAAAAATGCTAACTTTCTTATCATCTCGATGCCTCCTTACATAAAGGTTGCTCTTTACACTTACATCACATAGTACTTGACCGAAAGCCCGATTTCGAAATAGTGCAGCGGAAAGGTCCGCGCGACGCCATAAGACTCCAGCTGACGCAATTCCCCGATCAGCAAGTTCCACCGCGCCCGCGCATCAACTGCTGCGCGACCACTTGTCAAGACCTCCACACCTAAACCCACATTGAACCCCCACGCCACATCCGTATCATCAAACGGTGCCAGTTCCAATGTCGTATCGATCCCCCCGCCCAGGTTGGGTTGTCCTGCAAAGATCAGGCCCGATACCGAATTTTTATAGTGGTAAAACCCACCGCCATAGGTGATGAAGGGGCCTCCCGTCATGCCATCCGAACCACCTGTTCGCTCATTCAGGTGATACAGGCCGTTAATCGTAAACGCATTGACTGTCATAGAATTGCGCGCCAGCGGACTTGCGATTTTCTGCCACTCTTCCGGCTTGTCTTCGGGCCAATAAAAGGTGGCTTCTTGGATTTTGCCGGGACCAAAGTGCGTGCGGTGAAATTCTATCTCTAAGGTATTGCGCGCATTCCGGGCATAGGTCAGATACAGCCCGAATGCTTCTTGTGCGCGAAAACGATCCTTCATTCCGAACACGGGAAAGTTGAAGTTTCCGCTCAAACCCAGGCCAACTTTCCCCACCACGCCAGTGTCCTGCCCATGGCTATCGCCCTGGCTATTGCCCGGAAGCGCGAAGAATATCAAACAAACTGCGGAAATTATCACTCGTTTCATACGCAATCCTCCTTGTGACTGCCCACTCAATGCGATAACTCGCAGGTGGGAGTGGATGTTAATCGTTACGAAGCGTTATTTATTTGATGTAAAAATAAACGATAGTGAATGATTATAGTAATAGTAAGTAATGGCTCACCGGAAAGATAAAACGCCTGTACTCGGATGTCAAGCGGTTTTGCTTCGCTTATTTTAAAAGATTCTAATATTTAAAAAAAGAAATCCTTCCTCTCACCGAATTCCAAAGGTCGTTTTTTTCGTGACCTGCACGCCGCTTACCAGGTCTTCTACGGTTACCTGCACCTCATGGTCGCCTTTTCCCGCTCCATCGAGATTTAGTTCCACATAAGAGAGGCCGTCTGTGGTATTTCCGATCTGGTCGTATGTCACGCTCACGCCCTGTTGCCTCTCTTCTTTTCCCAGCAGACGACCCAGTCCGGCGAGCACGCGGGCACCCCGGCCTTTTTGGTCCTTGGATTGGATGTCATAGGTCACGCGGTAATGCGTTTGTCCAAATTCATCTCTGCTCAGGTGATAGATTTCAAAATAGAGAAAGGCCGGATGTTTTTCTGGGAATGCCCATACCGACATGGGCATTATATTCAATCCTTGCTTGACAAAAACACCTTCTGACGGTGTCTCATCTGAGATTGACCAGGCCAGCTCGATGTCGCTCAAATTCAAGTCGGCTCTGGAATAGTCTTCCAATACCACCTGTTGTTTGTAAATCTGAAACCGCCGCGTTTCCGCTTCCCGAACCCGCAGGCCGAGTTCATAAGTTCCCGGCGGTGCTTCTATGGCGGCCATATCCAGCACCAGGTTTTGCCATCCTTTGGATGTATCGACTGAGGCTTGTAAAAATGTTTCATTCAGGAAAAATTTTCGCTCGTCCCGGTACGTCTGATCCACTTCGGGATCTGTTAGCGCCGCATTGCGTACCACCCATGTGCCCTCCTGTTTTTTGAGTAGGGAATCCGGCGGGAATACCGCTGTAGATTTCCAGGCGCGTGCGCCCATCCTTTCCCTTAAAGCTGGCGGTGCGATACCAGAAATCCAGGGGCTGGGCGCCCCGGGCAAAATCGTGAAAATCGGGAATCCGCCCGGCCATTTTGTTTACTACCAGTTCTGGAGAATGGTACAGAAAATCCGTCAGGTCTCGCACGGCAACATAACGCTCTTTTAATTCATTGGGCACATGCGTGGGTACGGGGGCAAAATCGAAATTGCCCTGAAAGTACTCGTCGGTAAATGTGACCTCCAGTCCCTCGGCGACCATGGTATATACCCAGGATTCCCAGGGTACAATGCTGGCGTCTTCTCGGTTGGTCACCGGCATAAACAAGCTCATCGCCTGTTCTACAAACCGCTCTTTACGCACCCGCGAGGGCGAAAAGCTCAAGTTGCCTGTGTTCACATCGCCCAGCGCGGCCAGGGTTTGCTCTTGATCTAAAATTCGGTTCGCCTGGTCGCCTTCACCACCGTCGGAAGCCTGCACCCGTTCCGATAACTCAGTGCGCTCGGCATCCTGGGCGTCTTCCAGCAAAAAAATGAGTTGGATCTCATCCGAGGTCAAACCCAGGTCCTGTAGATCGGGTGCTTTCGTGCTAAAAGCCCGGTTGCTTCGAACGGGAAATACCGGTCCTGTAAAAAATTCGCCGACTGCGTCCGGTCCGTAGAGATCTACAGCCATCCGCTCCTTGATGCGCTGTGCCTTGGGCGGCATATCGGCATTTAGACGGTTCGATGTTGACCGATAATCGGGTTCACCGTAACGGATGTACACTTCGCCCCGCCGATCCCAGGGGTACATCGCTTTTGAAAAATGCGTGCGTGTGTGCCAGACCCGGCGGTAGTGCTCTGCCTGGCGCAAAAACCCGCCGGATACGCGCGATAGATCGTGCCGAATCCAGAAGCGGCGCAGAAATGCCTCGCGCTCCACAGCCGACGCGACTCTGGCATAGGATTCCAGTTCGGGTATGGAAGCCAGTAGCGAAATATCCCGGTAAAGTGCCGCCTCTGTGGCATCGAGAAGTGCGATGTAATTCCGAAAAATGCGTACGGCCCGTTCGCCATCGCCTTCATAGAGAAAGACCTGGGCTATCAGAGGCAAAAAACGACGTGTTTCTGCTGCGTGGCTCAAACGAATCAACAGGTCTCGCAACTCGGCAAAGCGTTCGTTCATGGCATAAATTATTCCCAATTGATAGGCGACATCCTGGTCTTCGGGAACCTGCCGCATGCAGCGTTCGTATAGTTTGATCACCCGGTCCCACTCATCTTTTTTTGCATGGTGTTCCGCCATGATTTTGCAGGCTGCGACATCCGTAGAGTCGCGCTTTAGTACCCGTTCGGCAGCCCGTTTCAAAGACCGGTTCTCTTTCATGAGTCGCACGAGATCGAGATGATAGAGAATTTTTTGCGATGCGGGTGCCAGAGATAGTGCCTTTTCAAAATGCGCCCTGGCTCCGTGGATATCTTTCTTGTCGTAGAGCGCGATCAGCCCCAGCCCGTCGTGCGCTTCTGCGAGATCTGGATTTAAGCTCAGTGCCTTTTCAAATGCCTGCCTGGGCTTTCTTCCATTGCTTTTTTCGCTCGTGGGATTCCAAATATGCCGTACCCAGACGGATGTGGCCCTCTGCCAATTCCGGATCCAGGTGTACAGCCTCCTGCAATAGATCTATCGCGTGCCATGCATCGTTCATCTCGATCCGCACATCGGCAGCCATCAGGAGAGAATCCGACCGGGTCATCAGGGTTATGAAATATGGAGCTGCTCTGCCTTTGCTCCGCATGTAATCAGGACGAAGTATATGGGAATCAGTCGAATCGCAAAAAATGATTTTTCATTGCGTCCTCACTCGATCTCTTTCGGTATTTCCAATTTAAAGCTCGCGGTTTTGGTCACTTTTTGCCCGTCTCTGCGATCTATTGCAGCTACCTCGATGACGTATTCTCCCGGCTCGGAACCGGACAGGTCAAGTGCCAGATAGTTGACCACGTTGTCGGCATCGCCCGTCTGGTCATAAGAAATCGCAATCTGTTCTCGTTTCTGGTCTATGCCTACCAGTTTTCCCAGGCCACTGAGTACTTTTGCGCCAAACAACTGCCCGGAACGCGGCTTTAAGCGGTAGGAGATCTGGTAGTCCGTCTGTCCGAACACATCCTGGCTCAGTCCGTAAATTTCGTAGTAAAGATAGACCAGATGCCGCTGTGTATAATGCCGCGTGGCCAGTGGAATGACTTCCAAATTCTGTTTGACAAAATGTCCTTCTTTGGAGGTCTGTTCAATTGAAGCCGCCATCTCGATATCGCTCAGCCTGAGTTTGCCGTGCCGATAAGACGGGACCCGCAAGGGCATGCCATAGACTGCGTGCGCCCAGATCGCTCTTCAATGGCCTGCACAGCGAGATAGTACGATCCAGGTTTTACATCCAGTGCGATTATATCGGGAATGATCCCGGTTTTTCCATCTACCCGCAGTACTACTCGTTTTGCTGCTTTGAATACCGGATCGCCTTTTGCATTGTAGAGAACGGCACCCCGGTTTATCCGAACATCTCCGCCATCTCGCGTCAATGCGGAAGCGGGAAATCCGTAGTAGATCTCCACGCGCGTGCTGTCGCCCAGTCCTCGAAATGTGGCGGGATAGGCCGCATAATACAGCGGTTCGGCGAGAAATGCCGGTACATAGATCTCTCTGGGAGCCTGGCTTATAATTTGTTCGGGAATGAGAGGCCCCCACAGGTGGCGCATTTTGGTCGCCATTTCCGCGGGCAATACGGCGTAATCAAAAACGCCATCGGGCGCGCCGGGCATCTGGCGAAATACGATTTCCACGCCTTCTCCCAGTCCCGGATATATCCAGTATTCCCACGCTCTGCGATCCTGAATCGGAAAGATGGGGCGTCCCAGAAAAATACCCAGTCCCCCCACGGCCATCGCCGATTCGGCTCGTTTTCGGATCTGTTCGCTTTTCCGATTGCGCTCGGATGATCGGCTGTACAATCGCTGGAATTGCCTGTCCAGTTGACGTTGTGCTCGTTCTGCTCCGGCTCCGCGATGGGTCAGGCTGTCGCCATCAGAGGCGGCGTAATCCGATAGCAGTATTTCGGCGGCCCAATCTACGCGGTCTAATAACCGTTGCTTGATGGCCCAGTCTTCGGGATGGGATTCGCGCTGTCGATCCCTGGACGCGCTTTTGTGTGATGGCGTGCCGTAGC